ATAGTGTGTGGTCTTACATTTAGGTACTTACTCCATTTTGAGTTTATTTTTTTATATTGTGTTAGAGGATGTTCTGATTTCATTCTTCTACATGTAGCTGTCCAGTTTTCCCAGCACCACTTATTGAAGAGACTGTCTTCTCTCCATTGTCTGTTCTCTCCTCCTTTTTGTAGATGAATTGAAGGTGAGGACATGGACTTATTTCTGGACTTCTGTCCTGTTCCGTTGATCTCTGTTTTTGTGCCAGTGCCGTGCTGTTCTGATGACTAGCTTTGTAGTGTAGTCGGAAGTCAGGCAGCGTGATTCCTCTAGTGCCATTCTTCTTTCTCAAGACTGTTTTGGCTGTTCGGGGTCTTGTGTTTCCATGCAGATGTTTTATTTTTTGGTTAGTGCTGTGGAAAATGCCGTTGGTACTTTGATAGGGACTGCGTCGAATCTGTAGATCACCTTGGGTACTGTGATCATCTTAACTGTTGATTCTTCCAGTCCAAGAAAATGGTGTATCTTTCCATCTGTGTTATCTTCACTTTCTTTCATCAGCATCTTACAGCTTGCAGAGTGCTGGTCTGTTGCCTTTTTAGGTAGGTTTATTCCTGGTTGTTTATTCTTTTTGATAACAGTGGTAATGGGATTATTTCCTTAATTTCTCTCTCTGGTATTGTTGCTAGTGTACAGAAATGCAGTGGATTTCTGTATCTGATTTTGCATTCTGCAGCTTTACCGAAATTCATCGATGAGTTCTAGTAGTTTTCTGGTGGTGTCTTTAGGATTTTATATGGAGAATAATCATGTCATCTGCAGATGGTGACAGTTTTATGTCTTCCTTTCCAATTTGGATTCCATTTGTTTGTTTTTCTCTGATTGCCCTAGCTAGGACTTCCAAAACTGCATTGAACAGAAGTGGTGAGAGCGGGCATCCTTGGCTTGTTCTTGATTTTAGAGGAAATGCTTTCAGGTTTTCACCATGGAGTGTGATGTTAGCTGTGAGTGGATCATAAGCAGTCTTCACTGTGTTGAGGTATGTTTCCTCTGTGCTGGCTTTCTGGAGGTTTTTTTTTTTTAAATCTTAAATGGATGTTGAATTTCATTAAAAGCTTTTCTGCGTCTATTGAGATGATCGTACGGTTTTTATTCTTCAGTTTGTTAGTGTGGTGCATCACCTTGATTGACTTGTGAAAAATCCTTGCGTCCCTGGGATGAATCCTGCTTAGTGGTGTATGAGCCTTTTACTGTGTTGTTGGATTTGGTTTGTGAGTTGGCCCTGTTTTATGTTTGATTAGTTCTGGAGACGAGTGACCAGTTTCAACACCACCTCTCATTCCTCTTGATCTTGGCCTCTTGCTTATCTTTAGATTTATGTTTTATTTATTTTTAAAACTTTTGGAGGGGGAGGGCAATTCGGTTTATTTATTTGTTTTTAGAGGAAGTACTAGGGATTGAACTCAGGACCTTGTGCATTGCTAAGCGCGTGCTCTAGTGCTTGAGCCATCCCCTCCCCTAGGTTTATGTTTTATCTTATTCTATTTCAGTGTCTCTCCTTCACTGGATGATTTTCTCAGCTCTAACTTCCACATCACTCTCTGTTTAATCCACTTGTAAATCACAGCGGCTGTGTTAATGTTACTACCGTTATTGCAGTTATTTCCAGAGCAGTGGGTGGTCCCCCACCCCCAACGTGGTTTCCACTTTTATTGTGATTATTTTCTGAACACTTTATGATGTGTTCCCTTTTGGGTTGTTCTCATTTCACATTCCTGGAGGTCTTCTAGCTCTTACCCATCTGATGCTTTTCTCGTGTTTCTGAGCTCATCTCAGCAGAGCTTGTCTTCCTCTGGCATCTCTGTGACATGGGTTGTAGACACTTACTTGTCCAGTGCAGCTGTGTGTGCTTCCCTGTCCTGGGGTGGCATGTGGTGGAGAGCTCGGAGCACTGTGGGCTGATGGCGGTCCTGAGAGTCCATTCTGCGCACCTGAGGCTGAAGACGTGGGTTCTCAGGGTGCTCCCCGCCCCTTCATTGCAGTTCAGTAGAGAAGAGTTCTTCTCTGTCCCCCTTTCTCTCAGCTGCAGCCTTTTGAGGAGCCTCCACCGTTGTGTGGCTCTTCCTCGCCGCCGCCAGCTTCCTGTGCCTCAGGAGCAGTTCTGCCCTCCCGCCTCCAGCGCCGCTCCGGCTGCAGTTAGTTCTCAGGTGGTTTCTGAGCTGCCGCTTCCTTGGGAGCTCAGCTGTCTTTTCAGACATGGTCTTTGGAATTTTTTTGAGATGGTAGGAGGGGTTTTTATTTTTGACTATCCTGTGACATTTTTGAGTGAATTTGGCCTGGGGTCCTTGGACTGGTACCAAGTTGGCTTTCTCTGTGTGTGCTTCTTCCTGACCCTTCTGTGCAGAGTTCTGTGTTTGATGAGAGTCACAACATGACTTCAAGCGGAGTCATGTTGTAACAGGTACCCCCTCCCAACCAGTGGTTGCTCCCCAGGATTGGAAAGTAGAAATATACAACTGTGCATCTTGTCCTGAGACAAGGAATACTTCCCAGTTGTGACATTACACAACTTTAACGTTGTTCTACCTCAGCAAAATGGCCTCAGGGAGGTTATGATCTCATGTATTTGTTTACAGTCACTACCTTTCTTTTCAAATTTGAGTTTTTGGAAGGGCTGCAGGAAAGCTAGCTTCGGTTTTGAGCAAAGAACTTACTTTATTGGGCAAAGCTATTCTGTGCTGCTGTGTGAAATAGGCCTTTCATGTTAGTTTTTGGTCATTGGTTTAATGAAGTGATTTAGCCAGTCAAGTAGAGGTGTACATCCGTTAGATGTCCCGTGTTAAGAGGGAGCACATGTGGGGCCTGAGGCCAAACCTGTTGGACTGTACCCTCCGGCCCCTGGAAGCGGCTGCAGGGGAAACGGGTCTCCGCTGCTGAGTTTCCCGTGAAGGCTCCGTCTCGGGGCATCTTTTCCTTCTACTGGCAGCAGGGCACCATAAGTTTGTCTGTCAGAGGGACGGGCGTTTGAGGCCAGAGGGAGGACGGTGCAGGAATAGCCCTGAGTCAGAGCCCTTTCCCTTTTCCCTCCAAAGGGCGCTTGGGAGGGCGTTGGCTGGTCCCTGGCGAGAGCCGCCTGACCTGGAAGGTGCCTGTGTGGCCCCCATGCTGGGTCCTCGGGGCAGGGACAGCGTGTTCATGCTGGTGGCCGCATAGGAGTGCACCAGGGAGGAGGGAACTCACGCTCCCCCGGGGCCTGAGTCTCTGCCTCGGGGTCATCTGTCAGTTTTATTTAGTTTAGGCTATTCTTAGCCTATTTCAGAGCACGCCCCCCTCCCCCGCAACAAGAAGGGTCACAGGGCACGAGCCTCAGAATGAGTTCCCAGAGGAGGCCCCAGCCCAGCAGGCCTGGTGCTTAGTGCCCAGCAGGGTGACATACTCTCCCTCCTGCTCTGTTCCCAGCCCCATGACGAGCCCAGCCTCGACAGTCCTGTCACTGACCACGGTTTTCTGATTGCAGGACTCGTTCCAACAGCCTGTTAAAACATGGTGGATTACTATGAAGTTCTAGGCGTGCAGAGACATGCCTCAGCTGAGGACATTAAAAAGGCGTAAGTAATCATGTTTCTGAAACAGTAAATCTGTGCAGTTGTACGTTGGTCGTTCGGGGGTGCAAGTTTACATTGAGTGTGGCAGTGGACGTGGTGTAAGTCTTTGAAGGCCATGGTTTAGTTACAGTTTTAGAAGCAGGCAGCGCAGTAGCTTCTGCCGTCTCAGCCCTAGGCCCACCGTACCACTCGCATTTAGGGAGAAGGGCACTCGAGCTCCTGTTACTTTGCCCTGGGACAGTGGATTCCATTTCCTCTGGAATTAGATGCAAACTAACTGAGGATGTGAAAGAACCCCAGAGAGCTTTGACGTTGGGCTTCGAAGTGCAGCTGCCCTGGCACTCACAGCACATGCTGCCAAAACCCCCTCGGTGCAGTCGTTGAAAAGCATCCCCGCTGCGTGACCCCATCTGGTCCACGTTAAAGCTTGAGGCCTGCACTGCTGTCTGTCCTGCCTTCACCTGTGTGACGAGGGCCTGCCCCACGTGAGCACACGAGGCAAGTCTTGGGTCACAGGCGGATCTCAAGGTAAATTGGGATCTGCTTAAGTCTTTTGGAATTAATGAATAGCAGAAAATGTCATTAGATTTTACAGGTTTTTAGCGTAGCTCCAAACTGATAAGGATGCCTGAAATAATGGGAACGAAGCTCCCGTTTGTGTTGTAGGAACCAGCTTTTTAATACATGATGAAGTCTGTGCTACTAGTCTTAGGTTTGTAGGTGGAAATTGAGGGGTTTTGAGCCAAGTGGTTTATTTTAAAATGCTGAACCCCAGTACAGCAGGTTGGCCGCGGAGTTGGGCGTACTTGAAGCTGCTTGCAGAGCACCCCGGGTCAAACCTGGGCCAGGACACTGGGTAGGAGCAGCTGCTCAGTCAGGGCCAGGTGATGAGGACGCACCGTAGAGCTGTGTCACCTGTGAACTTGCTCACACCTGGTCACAGGCACGATCAAGAACAGCTTGATACAGTTGGAAATTTTGTACTGTACTTGAATAAATGTAGTATGTGCACAGCACCATGACTCACTCAGGGAAAAGCAGGTCTTCATCGGGCTGGTCGGAGTCTCCGGGGGGACCTTGAAGTGTGCAGTCTGCTGCTGGTGAAAGGATCAAGATTTTTCTGTTAAGTGTGCAGTTGAGTAAATACTGCCTTGGACTACAGTTTAACCTATTTCTTTTTTTCTTTTTCTTTCTTTTTTAAACTGAGGTTCTGGGGTCTGAAGCCAGGACCCCGTGCATGCTGAGCACGCGCTCTGCCCCCGAGCCCCCCCCCCCCCCGCCTCGTTACTTTTAATGAGCTGCTGGTGGCGTATTCTTAGGACAGCCCCTCTTGTTGACTCTCGCCCTTGTTTATGTGCCGGGACCACGGAACTTCTCCTTGAGGACAAGCCGTGTGTGGCTGGCACCTCCCTTCCCATTTCTCCTGCGAATCCTGCAGCCTTTTCTGTGTTTGAGTTGCAGGCCGAGCGCTTTCCCTCCACTTGAGTGCTAGCCTCCCCTCTGGCACTGAAGCAGTGGTGTGTTGGTCAGACTTGAGTCAGAGGTCCACGTCGAAGGGGGTGTGGTGCTCCTTAACTTAATGTGTTAGGCCTGGAGTCTGAAAAAGTGTGTAGTTTTCCACAAGGCATAGACACTTTAAACTTACCCTGGACTCCCGTTTTTTCATTTTCACATGAGCACCCTAGTGCAGAGCAGTTGTTCTTTCTCTCTCTAGTCTTTCATGTGGCTTGTCTCTTTTTTTAATGGAGGATTTGTAGCACTTCAGGGGTCTTGGTCTGCTACTACACGGATGGTCCACAGTGATGGGAGAATAAAGGACTGGCTTAGCATTACGATCCCAGCTCTAATCAGATTTTAATGAGTTGTGCTGAGGTTTTTCTTTTTATTAAAATGACAAAAGTGAACTCGAACCACAGGAGCCTTACATTAGTAAGTGTTGAAAGGTCAGTCTGGTTCTTATTCTAAGGGTCACACCCGCTCCCCTCCTTGTGTCCCCCCTCTGCAATGTGGACTGCTTATGCCTGGTTAACTAGAAAAGAGGTTGCTTTGTTTCATTTTGTTTTTTGGTGTTTGGGAAGCATGTGCTTGTGAAAGTTAACTGGAACCTTGGAGCAGACCGACCTTGGTCGTGACCTGTTTGAGTGGATCCTGAATTGAGATGTTGAGTTGTGAAGATACCAGGAGCACTTGCCTGTGCTGTGGCTGCTGGCTGGCCTTGCCCACTGACAGACACGCGGACGCAGTCATGCTGGGTCTTCGTCTGCAGGGCCCTCCGGACTCCATCAGCCTGTCACCATGAGTGCACACTGTGCATAACACTTTGGTCCTCAGACATTTTTAAAATGTTTTTCCTGTCTCTAGAGGTTGATTTGTATTATGCTGCCTGGATTTTAGAACTTGTTGATTTCATTCTGGGAGAAAAGGAGATGTTACAATAGAAACTAATATTAATCTCACTAGTTTGCAGCTCTGAAGCTCTTATTGTGCTTAATTATGTTTCTAAGTCCGTTGAATTTCTGGACATTGGATGTGAACAGTACCATTTTGCTCTTTTTAAGATATCGGAAACTGGCCCTGAAATGGCATCCAGATAAAAATCCTGAGAATAAAGAAGAAGCGGAGAGAAAATTCAAGCAAGTGGCTGAGGCGTATGAGGTGTTATCAGACGGTGAGCAGCCTCGCGTTGGGGGTGGACCCTCCCCAGGGCTCGCAGAGGGGGAGGACACATATGGCTGAGTGAGGCTGGGGTCACTGAGAACAAAGCTGCTCCTCTTGTGACAATTTGACATTGCTGTTCCCGGCAGCCCCTCTGTTACTGTGGAGCACCCTGGCCTCTGGCGAGTTCTCCTAGCATGGCCATTTCCTGACCCCCTGGTCAGAGGATGGGGAAGTCCTTCCGGGTTAGTGGTGGTGAGGCCACCCGTGTTGTTGGTGTCGTGATCTCTCCCCCACAGTTCCTTACTGAAGCCCACTCTGCGTTTACTGCTTGAAAGGATTTCCTTAGTTTCAGGAAGTACAGCTTTGTGCATGCCCCTGAGATTCAGACTTCACAACATGTGGGTAGGTTTTCCCACCCCAGGTCGAGAGCTTAGGTGTTGAAAGTAGGGACTGAAAGTCAGATCTTGTGGCTTAGTTTCATGGATCATGCAGAGGTAGCTGTTCGCCAGTTAGAACCGCTGGGTTCTCGGTAGAAAAGCCTCGTGTGAGGGTCCTGGGATTAGGGTCAGACTGCAGAACTTTGTATGAAAACTGCTGACATCACTCTGCCTGGAAGCAGTGCTGGGTGGCCTGGTGTGAGTCACAGCAGAAGCATGTCATTGACCGCAGAGAGTGGACACTTGGGCCAAGTGTAGCTACATATGGTCAGGGTCACTATGAAAGACATTTTTTTATTTTAGAAAAAGCTCTGTGTAACCTTCACCACGTGATAACGGTTAACACGTGCCCATGCTTGTTTTAGCTGCTGGCAGCCCTCCCCCTCTGTGTGAAAGGAAGGCCCCGATGTCTTACTTCACAAGTAACTCGTCATCGTCATTGCCGTTTGTTTGTCTGCTGACCCGTTACTCCCACATTTGTGGGACCAGGGGCGTTAGAAAAATTTGAGGACTAAAGTCAAACTTGATTTTTGGCAGAAAGAGAACCTTTAAACTCCCATAGGAATGCTTTTGTTCTTTTTACTTTTATTTTTTATTTATTTATTTTTTTTCGAGAGACTGTATTTTTCGTGGTCTCTTAACATCGCCTTCAGCGTCAGGAGTTAACTGTCACAGGTGCACAGTTGTTTTTAAGAGACTGATGATCAAAGGGTGTCTGAATGGTTAGCTTCTCCACCTGTTTCCTCTGTCACCCCTGTTATTTCACACACGATTCTGTAGAACCTGAGATTTTAGGGGAATACAGATGGTCTATCAAAATAACCTATGTGTCTGTAAGGGCTACATCTTAATCCTTTTTCTTCTAGAACATGAAAGATAAGATGACCAGGCACAGCAGAGCATCATAAGGCTTTGGCTGGCCTGTTGCTTTCCTGGGGGATCAGGCTGTAGGGTGTGGACTGGCTCTTATTCTGGCTTTGCGGACCTCTGCTTTCTACCCTCACCAAGTGCTGCAGATCTCACCCCCAGTCAGACCTGACAGTGAGAAGGGGCACTTGGAGGGTGGAATGGTTTTGCAGCTTCGTAGTGTGGCTTTCGTGTGGTCTGCGTGGGCTCTGTGGGCAGTACGAGGGAATAAATATTTTAGACTTTGTACTGAGTTGTTTTTAAGGAGATAAGTACTTAGATTTTCCCTCTTCCCCCTTTGCATTTAAAGTAAGGGCGGCCTAGCTCCTTAAACTAATGGTGAAAATTTGAGAACTGCATCGGTTCTTTGATTTATAACTTTGGAAATGCTTTATTAAATTTTGAAGGTAAAGAGCTTAGTCTTTACTGACTTTTCTTTTTAAATTTATAGCTAAAAAACGGGACATCTACGACAGATATGGCAAAGAAGGATTAAACGGTGGCGGTGGAGGTACGTGTGTGCATGCGGTCCTTCTCTTGGCCTTTTGCCGAGAGGTGGTCTGATGACCCGAGTCTCACAAGGGCTTCAGTTTGTTACTCCCCTGGACAGTTGTGTTTCAGTAAATAGTATACTTGCAGCCTGGAGAGTGGACTGAATTGGGGAGAGGAAGGAGAAATTGATAGCATTGGAAAAGTCTAATAAAAATTTTTATTAGGCTAGAGAGTATATTTAATGTTCTATGAAGTAATCTAAAACCTTACTGTGAGTTTGTACCCATAGGTCAGTACCTGATATTTTGTCAAAATATGTTTAGGTTTTGAAAAACAGATTCTTTTGGAAAATTACCAGAGGAACTGCCTCTGGTGGTGAGGCCTGGATGTGTGTGTTTTTGATGAAAAGTTCCCGCAGTGACCACTGTCCTGTCGGCTCCACGGTGGGCATTGGGCGTGAACGCTGCAGCCAGCCGCACACACGTCGTGTGAGTGAATGTTTATGTGCTTGGTTTCCAGGACGTTTCACAACGGAAATGCAAGTAGTGTAATCACAGATGTAGAGGTGGTGGGCCCTGTGTGCAGGCATCTCAGGAGCGCTGAAGTCCAGCGGTTTCGCCAACTCCAGGCACAGGTCCTTTTGATCGAGGCAGGGCCTGAGGGAGCCTCGGGGTTATGAAATACTTCCTTTTTTAGGTCACGATTTATACAGTGTTCTGTAGACAAGTAATTGCCTGCTAAGCTTGGGAGTCCAAAAGCTGAAAGCTGTGCTGTGCTTCTGCAGGTGGAAGTCACTTTGACAGTCCGTTTGAGTTTGGCTTCACATTCCGAAACCCAGAGGAAGTCTTCAGGGAATTTTTTGGTGGAAGGGACCCATTTTCATTCGACTTCTTCGGTAAGTTCCTCGTCTGGGCCGTCGCTGACGTGGGCTGTCTGGCTCACGTGAAGACTGACGTCCTGTTTCTGTTTACCCACGGTTGGGACTTGTTCTTAAACTGTGTCTGAGCAGTGCAGGGGTTTAACCAGACCTCGTTTTCTTCTCCCTTTGGGAAAATGCTTTAAATTTAAGCCTTGCACATGAGCATAATAAAGGCTGTAATGTATCCATTTGCTGTTTTTGATTCTAATTAACTTCTTTTGCCACTGTGATTAGGCAGTGATAAGGTTGTGGACACGAAGGGCCCAGAAGTGCTGTTTCTGACTGAACAGTGAATTCTGTGTGAATTTGCCCTGTCACACCCTGAGTAGACACTGTGCATCATAGCAGATGACTTTGAGAAATTTGATCTGTGTGCGTGCTTTTTTTTTTAATTGAAGTATACTATGTGTCAGTTTCTGGTGCACAGGATAATGTTTCAGTCGTGCAATACAGACTGTGTCCATATTCCTCTTGCGCGTGCTTTTCTGATTGTGCTGTGTTGTGACTGTCAAGGTCACACTTTCCGGGAAGAAGGGGCGTCTCTGGGATGAGGCGTCGCCGGTTCCCATCTTGGAGGGACAGTCATGCTCACGGAGACCCTGCCGCTCTAGCTGCTGCCTCGTCGTAGGAGAGGGTCTCTCAGCAGCGGCACGTCTGGCCCCCGTGCCCGACTCGGGTTGTCCTGTGAGTCCTGGACGTGGGCAGTGTTGCGAGCCCACGGTGGTGTCTGCTGGAGCTGCTCCTCCGCTGCAGGGACTGTCCGGTGTGCTGGGTGACTTGGGAGGTTGGGCTCACTGCGCTGCTGTGGCCACTGTTGTCTTTCGGCTCATTGAGGGGAAACACATCCTGTGTTTGCCCCTTGGTTCCCGGGAGGCTGGTTGAGAAGACTGAACAGCATCTGTGGCCCCTCCGGAGGGAGACACGAAGCACAGCTCTGTGCACAGTCCCACAGGGAGACGGTGGGCCTTGCCCATCGCGGGCGCGAGGAGGGATCCTCACCGCCGTGTCTGGTAGGTGTTGGGCCTTTTAAATGGTGCACCCCTCGGTTTATTTCAGACGGGGGTTCGGAGACCGTCCTTCGTTTTTTCTGTGGTGTGATGTGACTTTTTAAGAAGGGAGCTTATGGAGGGAGTGGTGTGTGTGTGTTAATGTATGTACTTTTTCACTGACATGTGACAACAGGAGCTGATTGTGGGAGGAGACCATGAAAGGGTTTGGAAGACTTTCTGCTGTAATTACACGGCTACCGCAGACAGGCGCGTGTTGGGAAGGATCCCTGTGAATACAGACAGTAGCACATGTCCTTTATCAGTTGTCCTTCATGGACGTAAGAAATCTTACTGTAGGAAAAGCAGAGGATTCTAATTCTCTTTCCTGTCTTAAAATTACCTTTGTGTTTCATCACAGTCTGAGGCACACCCTAGAGCGTTGGTCTGGGGAGCAGGCAGTGTTGGGTGAGGCCTGTGTTTGGTAGCCCGCATCTCCTGGGCCCCATCTCTGTTCTCTGGACCTCCAGCTGCAGGTGGAGGCTCATGAGGCGGGGGCCCTGCCGAGGCCGGGCCTCTCTCATGTTGCTTGAGCACTTAGTTTCCTTTCAAAAGAAAGAACAGTGAGGGCGAATCCTTTAGTACCTGAATGGTGGCCAGATTTCGTTTTCCTGGGAACAGATCAGACAGGCCAGGCTTTCTCATTACAAGTGGCTTTCCTTGAGCAGCTCTTTCTAGAGTAAGGGTGGGTGAGTGAGTAACCATTACCCCACTGTCAGCTGTTAAACGTGCTGGCTCAACGTCTCCTAGACGGAGCACTGTGAACACGAAGCACTGGCGGGCACGTGCATTTCACAGAGAAGCGCGAGAGGTTGCCGCTGTGGCCCGCTCGCAGAAGTGCCTTCTGTTGGACTCAGAGCCGAGTTTAGGAGGTGCCCAGCCTTCCCGTAACTCAGGGCTCTCCAGCCTCTGCCTTCCATCCTGGGGCGCTTGAGGTTTTAACAGCAGACATTTCCCTGTGGTGCCCACAGGCGGTGTGGCAGTGATTCCGTCTTCATCCGTTCTAGGTGTTCTAGGTGCCTTCCATTTTCAGGCTCTCAGGATTTACACACAGGAGGAGAAGCTGGTCCACGGCTACTGCGTGTCTGAGTTCACGGTGCAGTGCGCTGGCGGTACGTCCAGGGCAGATCCGTGGGCATAGGGCTGGGGGTTCTGCTTTGGTGGTGATTGGGTTCGTGTTTATCAGCTTCCAGATCCTGCTCCCTCAGCACTGTTGCCATGTCCATTCATAGTAGTGCGTGGTCTTTTCATCTTCACTTTTGACACGACCCACTTTTCCCCCTCTCCTGTTTGGTTTACCAAAAAACCAAGAAAAATAGCTCGAAATCTGTTAAAAGACATTTTGAGCTTGATTGTGCATTTGTCAGAATATAAAATGCCATGTCTGACTTCAGACTCCCCAAATAAAAGGGAAGGAAATGAGAAGAGCCAGCAAGCTGGTGGGGAGAGTGAAGGTATGAGGGGCGTTGGACAGGCTGCAAGCAATTCTGTGCCTGGGGACCAAGCTCTGAGAAACGTCACATTGTGAAGAGAGGATGTGGACCTGGGGTCCTGCTGGTGGGAGCCCTCCTCCGGGGGTGGGGAGGTAGTGGAGGCTGATTCTGAACTTGCCCTGAGCACTGGCTCTGAGACGGAGGGGTGCGGGCCAGACTTTCAAGGCTAGCCGACTTTGTTTAAATTCTTCCCCAAATATGGAGCACACAAAAACTAGCCCTTGTGAGAATGTAAATTGGAGAAGCAAATGAGTAGGGATTACCGTAATTCGAATCAGGGTGATCTCGTTATTAGTGAAGGACTCCGCTGCTCTGTAACGTGTTCTAAGGCAGGAGAGCAGCGAGTCAGGGCAGGAAGTGCTGCTGGGAAGACATGCTTATTGGCTTGTGCCTTCACGTTCGAAAGCCCAAACCACGCTCTGCAGCCGGAAACTGCTTCCAGAGAGCGTGCTCACTTCAGCGCCCCCCCCCGGCAGTGGTCTCGGTGGCGGACAGTCACTGCGCTCAGCAGAGGGAGTGCTGGGCGTGCAGACGAGGCAGGTGGGGTGTGGAGGGGCGGCGTCTGCTCTGCCCTCTGCAAGCAGGGGGTAGTGAGTCAGTCGCTTTGCTCCCCCAGGGTCCGAGGAGGTGGCCAGCGAGGAGTGGGAGCCTGAAGAGGAGGCGGTGGAAGACAGCTGGAGTGAGGACAGTGAGGTTGTGGACGTGGTGTCCAGTGAGGAGCTCGATCTCTTTAGCGAAGACGAGCCCAGTGAGGGCGGGGGCTGGGGCCTGGGCAGGCCCCCCAGGGAGGACCTGGAGTCCCTGTCCAGTGAGGGTGGGGCGAGTCTGGGGGACCTGGAGGAGATCATTGAGGAGTGTGAGGGGCCGCTGAGCGAAGACAGTGGGCCTGAGCTCGAGGCCCTGCTCGTGTACTCGCGAGTGTCCCGAGAGGAGGCTGGCCTGCCTGCTCAGTGTACCTGGAATAAAAAGTTCTGCTGCTAGTGCCTTGATGTCGTCCGTGGCCAATTCCAGCAGCTGTTTTGGGGATGACTGAAGAAACAGCAGAGGAGGGCCCCAGGAGCATCCAGCCAGCTGTCCTACAGGCCACCCTGAACTTTGAAGACCCTGGAAACAGTGTCTTTGCCTGTGTCAGTGTCCTGGGGCTACCCGGGAAGCTCCCCATACTGAGTGGTGGAGACGCCAGTGCTGGAGGATGGAGGTGTGAGATGAGGGTGTGGGCAGGGCTGCGTCCCTCTTCCAGGCCTCTCCCCGGCCTTTGGTGGCCTCGGATGGTCCTTGGCCTGCAGGTGTCATCGTTCTGTGTCTTCGCCTCATGCCCTCTTTCCACGTCTTGCCTCTGCCCACATTTCCTGTTGATCAGGACACCTAGGGGTGTGGGGTCAGGGTCCACCCGAATGAGCTCATCCTGACCCTGTGGTCTGCAGAACCCCCGTTTCCCACATAGGGTTGCGTTCGCTGGCCCTGGGGTGGTGAATTTCACTCCGTTTGGTGGGGGCCCAAATTCACCCTCCAATGTATGGAGCTGTCTATACAGTTTAGAAGCAGCAGATTTTGAAGGGGAAAGAAGGGGACACCTCTGAAGTCAGATGCACTGGGAGTAGAAGTCAGGTACGGTGCAGTGCGGTGCTGTGCAGAGCGAGCTCACAGCTCTCCTGCGGGGCTGACACGGCGCGGGGCCGGGGTACCCGCCTTACTCTGGCTCAGACTGACTTGCTCGCGGCTCATTTGAGAGAAGCAAGGAGTAAGACTTCAGATCTACATGAAAACGTGTCAGGTGTCCAGCTAAGGTAGTTGAAAGCACTTTTCACGCAGCTGTGAAACAACTGCAGGCCCCCGTTCAGTGCCAGGTCCTGGAGCAGGCAGCTCCGACGCCCCGCTCCTCTGCCTGGTGGGTGGTGCCCCGGTGTGGTGGGCGTGGGGGCAGGAAGGATGCTCTCTGCGCCTGGAGAGCTTCCTGTTGGAATGTGGAGCTGGTATTTGAAAACAGTTCATTTTCACATAAGACTTTTTCATCTGCTGGCAAACGTGGGGGGATGTTCTGGCGATATTCAGCTTTTCTGTGTACTTTGTGTTCTGCTGATCACCCCTGCTCCCAGTAAGGGAGAGGAATGGGTTTCTTGACAAGGTCTTTCTGGTGAGAGCTGGAGTGCGCCTCCCCGCGGGTGTGCCCCCTGCAGTGAGGTCTGCAGATGTCTTCAGCCGCACCGTGCTGGCAGCAGAGCCCTCCCTGTGCTGTGATTTGGAGGCTTGTGACGCAGTTTGCAGGGCCACGTGGGTCAGGGTTTCCTGAGTGCCTTGCAGGGTCTGCTCGTGATCTCTTTCTCGTGGAATTGTGGTCCCTGTGGCTGAGGGCGGTTGGAGATGTTCTGCGACCGCAGGTGGCGGGTGAGGCAGAGTCATGTTCTGGCCGGCCTCCTCCCACTTGGGGAATTAAAACAGGCACAGCGCAGGGTGTGCGGGAGTCATAGGGCGGAGGCAAGGGAGAAAGTATCTCTGGCTGGTTGGTGTTGGGCAGAGGGAGCCTACCAGGCAAGACACGCTGTTACCTGTAGGGTCCTTCTCTGAGGGGGCGAGGTTCTCGAGGAACCTGGGCCCTTGGTGTCTGAGATGGATGATTTGGATGCAGTGTCTGTATTTTGGTTCTTGACTTGGATGGGTTTTTGCAGCCCTTAGAAAATATTGTCCCAAACAGACCTGTGATGTGATTGGAAGTTACATTTTGTAAGAAGACAATTGTATGGAAAGTTGAACGTGTGGTGATGTGTTCGGCGGGTATTTACTACGTGCTTACTGTGTGCTGCCAGGCGCCGCAGTGGAGCGTGTGCTCCCGACCCCGTGCTCCCCAGGGGCCCGTTCAGCCTAACACCATCATGGCTGTGTTTTTAGTTTGCTCCCATTTTTGTTTATTTCAGATCCTTTCAAATAAAATATAAGAAATAATGCTTTAAAAATCTGGTTCGTCCTGAAGAAGTGTTGGGTAGCTGGGAGATCGCCTCCCTGAGGTCTGTTTGCCCCCGGCCTTCGAATCTCACGTGTTCTCTCTTCCCTAAGGGTCACTCTGGTCGTGCCTGTGGTGCGCTGTGAGGGTCGCTCTGGGTACGCCTGTGGTGCACTGTGAGGACTTTTCCTTTGTTCGACAAGTCCGTGATGTGTTTAGAGCTTGTGTCTTGTCCAGTTTTCCCGGGTGCCTGGGCAGTCGGTGTGGGAGGCCCTGAGGAGGGGGCTGGCTGGCACCTTGGGTCATTGGTTCTGGCCTCTCATTGCTTGGGTTTCGCGTTCACTGGAACGTCTTCCTTCAGGACGAGGGCAGGACTGGCCATCACCTTGGCGTTGAGCCTTGCTCGGTGCCCTTCAGACGGGCGTAGAGCATTGGACTTGAGCTGATGTCTGTTTGTTGCTGTGTGGTTAGTCTGTCAGATACTGAATTTCGGTAAAATTCAAGGAAGTGGATGGCTTTAAACATTTGTTTGACTTGGTTTTTCCTCAAGTCTTTTAACACGTGTGCATGTGAACGTTTGTCACGTTTTGCGCTCGGTTTTTTCCCACAGCGTTCAGTTCAGTGTACTTTTTTGCCGTAAATGTGACATTGTCACTTGGATTGTCGGTCAGTTGAGTGCTTTGCGGATGTCACCTTCTTGGACTTGGTGTAATATCTCAGAGGAGCAGGCGGGTATAAAGTTGAGGGCGAGTTTGATACAGGACACCCAGGGCGCTGAAAGGACAGGTCAGGGCTCATTTGCAGGCCGATGCCTGTTTCCTGTGACGTTGGTGGCCCAGGACGCACCGTCTTGTTACGGGGTACAGACCTGACGAAAGAACTTGTGAAATGACCAGTTTCTAGAAACCTGTGAGTTCTGTGCTAGGTTCTCCAGAGAGACAGAGCCAACAGGAAGTTAGGAAATCTATCTAAGGAAGTTCAGTGTTTAAGTAATTGGTCACTTGACTGGAGACGGACAGCTTCCACATTTGCAGAGCTGATGTCCCAGTTTGAGCCCAGAGGCCGAGGCAGCTGCGCTGCAGGTTGGAAGCCGACAGGACAGGCAGGAGAATCCGCAGGTGTTCAGGGGAGGGTCAGCCTTCTGCTCTGTTCAGCCCCGCAGCCGATTGGGCGGGTCCCTCCCACACTGGGGAGGCCAGCCTGCTCTGCTCGGTCCACTCACTCACCCAGAAGCACTTTGAGACACACTGATGGCAGGGCACCGTGCTGCCCTTGAGGATGACACAATCTGTCCATCCTTACTACTCAGCTGCCTTCTCTGAAGTGGCTTCTGAAGAAGGTGGTTTGTAATTGGGGAAGTCTTAATCAGCTCGGCGTAAACAAACTAAAACCATTTATTCGGTACTGGTGTCAGCGGACACTGGCTTCAGGTACCCTCAAAAGCCTCACGAGCAACCTTGGAAGGTTTCGCTGCTGTGTACGAAGCTTAAGAAACAGTAACTAACGTGATAGCTGTGATAAAAGGCGCATTGTGGAAGGCTGCAGTGCGCCGACGTAGATGAAGTCTCTCAGTGCACGGAAGAGCGCCGGGCTCAGGAACGCGGGGTGGGGAGCAAGAGCCTGGAGCTGGCCGTGTGAATGCTTTCTAATGGTCACTTGGGAGTGAGAGAGAAAATTACTTCACTGTGAGTTTCAACTGAGTTTGTAAAGTTTCTCTTAACGGGGAAGGGGGGGTCATGATGCAGGGGTGTTGGGTCTGAGTTCGGCGCTGCCGTGACAGTAAGGGATGAGGTGCCTTAGAGAACGCTTGGATTTTATTTGAACAGGATGATGCTTTGTAGAAATTCCCAAAATGTGTTGGGTAAAATTAGCACAATCTGGGGGCTAATTTGTGAGCAGGAGCAGCTGTCGCCTGCCGCTGGCTAGGACTCCTGAACCGCCCCAGGGCTGCTGGGATTGCGCTGTCCTTCCGCTAGCGCTTGGTTCTTTTGGGTCCCTCAGCAAGCTGGCGGTGACCGGTTTTTCTGAATGTTTCTTCTCCAGGCCCATTTCCCTGCGCTCTGAGTGCCTCTCTTGTTTCTGAGAGGCCTTGTTTCTGCCTCCTCTTCCCCCGCCACCATCCCGTGCTTTCCTGGGGCCGCCCTGGCCTCACCTCCCCCTGCGTCGTCACCAGGTCTCGGGGAACAGGTGCCCTGTCCTGGGGCTCGTCCTCCCAGACCGCTGCCCGAGTTCCGCTGCGGGTGGCACGTTGCTCCGGCCATGTTGTCTGGAAACATAAGCGCACCGTGGATCTCAGTTTCTACTTGGTTTCATGCTCCCTGTGTGCTGTTCTGTTTACTTTAATTGTTCCGCTTCTCAAATGTATTAATTCCCTGCTGTGGTCACTCCTGCCTTGTCTTAAGGATATGCCGTACGAGTTGATAGTTTCTGTGTCCTAGGTTGCTTTTCTCTTTCCCTTCGTGCATTGCTGTCCATCCATCAGGGGTCCTTGTTTTTATTTCTGAAAGGACTCCCATATCCTCAAAAAAATACAGCACTGATAAATATAAAAAACAGACCCTCAGCTAATGTTTTACGAAGTTTATATAGTTCATGTTTTCAGTAAGTGTTCATTGATCCCCCTCCCCAATCCCTAAAGTGTCGAGGCTAATTTTGTTTTTATTTCCAGGGGCATCGTGGCAGCTTTGGTAGCTGTATAATGCCTGTTGTGTTGGTTTTCTATCAAAGAACAATGTAATGTCTGCCGATTGACCTTTAGCCAAATCTGACTTTAGCTAACGTTTTCTAAAAGTTTTTGGAGACATCAAGCTTACAGAAAAGTGAAAGGGATTCTTGAACACCCACGTGGTACAGCATGACAGCCGTTAAATTTTGCCTCACTTGCTGCAACATTCTCTGTGTCACAAGTAAATATGTAAGGGGAATCCTTTTTTTTTTATTCCTGAATTATTTTGGAGCAGCCCAGACTCCGTGCAGTACAACGACTTAGCTGTGAAACCATCCTGACCTCTTAAGTGGCATCTGCTGGGACAGTGTCTGCCAGAACGTTCAGGGAAAATCCGTATCAAAGCAGCTCTCTGTCCGAGTCTGTGTATTAGTGGTGCGGAGTTTTACACATGTATGTACCTTGTGTTTTTTTTTGATTTAAATCAGTCCGCATTGTGGTCTAGCTTTAGTTGCATTGAACAGGTACGTGAAACGCCGGTTGGATGGACGTCAGCTGCTGTCCGCGAGCTGCGTTGCTGGACCTCGGGGGTCGGCCGTCGTTCCTGATGGGACCGTGATACGAGGCGCTAACCCGCTTCCCCGTGTTGCAGCTCTCCCGTGAGAAAACAGACTTGGATAAAGGCTTCACAGAGCACTTCTGTTTGTTTTCAGAAGACCCATTTGAGGACCTCTTTGGGAATCAGAGGGGCACCCGTAGGAGCCGGAACCGAGGCGCAGGGTCGTTGTTCTCCGCTTTCAGTGGATTTCCTGCCTTTGGAGGGGGATTTCCTTCTTTTGATACAGGTACGAATCCCTCGGGCTCAGTCTCCAGTGTCTGAGCAGACATAGCGCAGCGTTCTCGTATTTAGGGCAGTTTGAAGCGTGTGGACGCTTTTTGCTAGGACAGCTCTGTGGATGTGCACAGAGCTGTGCTTAGTGACCTGGCTCTTACCCCTTTTCTTCCCAAGAAGTTACACTGCAGAACCCACTTCTGCTCTTAACTGTTGAAGCCAACATGTAATGAATCCTGTGGCTTTGGGCAAATGTGAAATTGCCTACTAGACAGTCTCACTATATCTTTTTGTATCTAACCTCCTCACTGAAAAATCAAAAAACCAGCTCTCGTATCCTGGACGAGTCCAGGTTGGCGGGGTCAGAAGGTGGGGCTTCATAAGGTCCGTGTGTGGCCAGAGCCACACCGATTCCCTGGGAGGTGCGGTCACTTGTGGCTGTCGGCGAAGGCGGCTGGTGCTGAGTTGGGTGCCAGGTGCACCGGCAGGTGGAGCCCCGGGTCTCCCCTGCAGGGTGGGGCTCGTAGCTCGTCCTCCACGCTCTCCAGTTCCTCTTCACGGGAGCCGCTTGCCGTCTGTTCTGGTCTTGAATGGCAGTGCTTACTGGCCGGCTGCCCCATGTGTCACGGCTCCCGGTGCTTGTCCCTTCAGGACGGCGCTGAGGAAGTGACCTGTGGTCAGACTTGACAAAGGGCAGTTGTAGGGGTAACTTTCTTAAGAGATTCTTTCGTCAGGCGCCAGGTAATATGCTGAAGCTGGAGAACAAGAGAAAGCTGGTTAAAAGTATCAGTGCAGTAGTGCTTCAGTTAAGAGACGTGCGGCTGGCGTGAGGGCTGTGGGGCTGCAGTCCTTACCTTTAACGAGCCCTGTGTAGGGTCACGCCAAGGAGTTACCGGGTGGCTGCTTTCATGGGCACGTTTGGGAGCGGGACAGGGAGTGAGCTCGTAACAAGCAGACCGGCCTCAGGTTGCGTCAGTGTGACACGTGGAAGTCAGGACTTTGTAGTGTGTGTAGGGGACACGCTGTGTTGGGCATTAGTCCGTGAGCTCTGGATCTGTGCTCTTCCGGGGCATTTGCAGCCCCCTTCATAAGGTGGCCTTAGCTTTGTAATAATGGACTCTCATCCCCTGCGGGCACATTGCAGTGGGGGGTCACAAACGAGTTGGGCTTGCCAGACTGTGGCAGAAGTCCGCTGCGCTCCTGAGACGTGCGCACCAGGCTGTCCCCATCCGCAGGGTGAGGTGCCGGTGAGGCCGCAGGGCCCTGTGCAGAGGAGGGGCGGCTGGCTCTCCTCCTGCTCCCCCGATGCAGAGGAGAGCACGTCTTTCCTCCCGCGCCGTGGCTCTGATGAAAAGCTGAAGAGCGGCCAGTTTTGTGCTAAGTCAGCACCAGGCGTGTTGGTTCTGATGTCCTTTCTTTCCTGTTTTCCTTCAGGATTCACGTCCTTCGGCTCGCTAGGCCACGGAGGCATCACGTCTTTCTCTTCCACGGCGTTTGGCGGTGGTGGAATGGGCAACTACAAATCTGTGTCAACGTCTACCAAGATGGTCAACGGCAGGAAAATCACCACCAAGAGGTACGTGGCGGTGGCTCTCATCGGCAGGCGGCGTGCTTCCCTGGTGGCGCGCTTTGCTCGCACGCTGCAGCGTGGGGGGCGCAGGTGGTACGGGGAGCCTGGCACCACGGGATTCTTGGTCTTCGGTTTCGAGCTCTTCCTTCTAAGCTTTGGCTGAGTGCTGACTGTTAGACGTCGCCTTTGTTTGGAGCCATCGTCAGCGTGTAGTGGGTGCTGGCAGCCCTGGCGGCGTGCTGAGAGGGAGGCCGTTCGCAGTGAAACTGGCCGTTGTGAGACAGTGTCTGTCCCCGGCTCGGTGCTCCGCGGTGCGGTGTTAGAGACGAGCTCCGTCTGTCGGAATAAACCCCGCGAAGACACACTGGTCGCGAGTTAGCTTGTCTCCAGCTGTGTTTTTCGGCCACAGAGGAGGGATTTCATGTGTCTCTGTGGCAGTTTCTTAAAACATGCGTTTGTGTTCATGTACATACTTAACAAAAAGGTTTTAAAATGCTGTTTATCCCCCAGGATTGTCGAGAACGGTCAGGAAAGAGTGGAAGTTGAAGAGAACGGCCAATTAAAGTCCTTGACGATAAATGGTAAGGAGCAGCTGCTGCGCTTGGAGAACAAGTAGCTCCCGGCCCGCATGGCACAGGAACGTTCCGTGTGGCGGGCGCCCCGAGGACTGGCAGGTTTCAGACGAACTCGCCTTTCTGTGTAACTGTACCTGATCTAACGTATTTATACGCAGCTCGTCGGAGCCCTGTTTGTCATAGACTTTTGAGTTTATTGTTGGGACCACATGATAGGACCATTTTTTGTCTTTAAGATTGTTGTAAATCTCTGTGTGCACTTTGCCTTTTTATTAAACGTGACTCAAGGCGGCCGTGACTCTTTCGTACACTGACACCAGCACGGGCCTGCTTCCCATTTGCTTGCAGCGTGAGCCAAGTAGTGTCAGCCTGCTGTGAAGCTAACATTGCCAGGACGAACCTTCCACAAAAGTAATTCCAGTTTTCTTCAGTGTTTTCAGTAGCGAAAGACACTAACGCGTTAATGGTAACACATTTCTGGTTCAGTATAAATTGAGGATGTTTTCTAGTTGTGCATGATTGCTGGCAACTTAGTAAGTTTTGAAAATTGTTTAGATATGTAACGTTAAGCTTAGGTTTAAAAAAGTAAAGCTGGTAAACTGGGTCTTTGTTATTTGCTTAAAAAAAGAAAATAAATGCAACTGTGTTTGGCGCATCCTTTCCTGAGCGAGGCGCGGCCTCCTGTGTCCGTGTGACTTTGTGTCTGGGCTTCCAGTGTCGCCTCCTGACGGTTGCGTCTGCCCGCTGAGGCGGACGCTGAAATTGTTACGTGTATTCTTCGGTCCGTTTGGAGTCGTACGAAGATCTGTATGACGATTCTCGGCTTTATGTTGAGTGACTACCGGCAGTGTATGTCCCGGGGGATAACGTTTCTGCGGGGAGAGGGGAGGCGGCTGTTCCACTCTCTGCTCTGCAGAGTGCGCTCTAGTCTCCTGGGTGGTTTTTGACGCCAGCTCATTTAAAGAAGATACGAATGGTAAGATTGTGGAACGACACAGGTGTGGGCAAAAGTGAAGGTGTTTTGGTTTTCAATCTGTATACTCTGTCGTGGTGACCACTGGTGACGAGAGTTCCTGGCAGAGGAAGACGAGTGCGTTCACAGAGCCACGCTCGCCTGTGTTTCGGACGAGCGGTTGCTGAGGGTTATTCCTGTCAGTGCAGGCTTGGCTGAAGGCAGACGGTACCGCACAGTCTTTAAAGAATCTAATGTAGTCCTGAAAACAAGTAAAAGGTGTTTTTTAAATCTCAAAACCTCAAATAATGTATTTTTTAAAAAGTCATTGCAAAATAAAAGTACCCGAAGATAAATAAGGGGAACAGTGGAAAAGGTGCGTCAGTGCGCCATCTTAGTTCACAGACCCTTTGGATAAGGGAGATGTGCAGATACGTCACGTGTTGGAAACCACACTGTAGAATACAGTTTCACGAACTCAAAAGTTGAGCACCAGAGAGCCTCCGTCCGTTCCTGCTGTTAGGGTGGGTGGTTCTGTGTTGCTGAGAGACATGGGAGTAACTGGCCCTCCCCAGACGCAGCGCGCATACTTGTCAAGATGGTTGGAACAAACCACTGGATAGAGCCAGCTTGAGGGTCCCCAGGGAGACCAGGGAAAGGAACGGAGTCGTGTCCAGCCCACCGAGGTTGGTTTCCGAGGAACCGTTTGATCGGAACCTTGGTTTCACATGCCTCAGCGTCCTCGGATGGCAGAGTTTGCAACCACTGCAGCCCCAGCTGTGAACGGTTACCTTGACCTTGACGTTGCAGGTAAAGGTGACTCATGTGAAGTGTTGTTGAGGGACCCCCGCAGTTAGCGGTCTGTCATTTCCACTTGGGACAGTTGCCGCTCTGCACTCTGCCAGTGGGACGGTTGATCTAGCAGTGGGAGGACTTGCTGCTGTCAGGTCTCGCTCCTCCAGTATTTGAAAACGGTCAAGTTCATTCCTGGGGGCTGAGCCCAGCGTCCTGGGAGGTGGCTTGGAACAGTTAGGCCAGTGTTTCCAGCACTGGGAGCACCACTCACAGAAGGAGCAGCTTGGAAGAATAGCAGGTAATTTACGTGACAGGTTCTGGCCATTTGTTGGTCCCTATGCTTCCTGATTTTAAAGAGAAAAAAAACCAAACCAACTTCCTGTGGTCCTGAATGCCTCTGCAGCAGGAAAGCCGAGTGCCCGCTGCCCCCAGCTGCCGGTGGCGGTGTGCTCGGTCCAGGCGGGGACTGGCGGGTGCTCCGTGTCCTCTGGGGGACCCGCGCGGCCGTTGGAGGCGCGGGTCTTCGTGCAGCTCCCCGGGCAGCATCGTGCGGGGCGGCCGTGTGCTGCGGCTGTCTGGGCTCTGCTCCTCTCGTCCCGTGGCTCCTCCCTGGGCGGGTTTGACGTAGTTCAGTAAGTGCTGCTGCCTCGTGTCCTGTCTGACACAGGCGAGTCCCCAAGCTCTCGGCTGTGGCTGTGGGAACCCAGCAGCTGAGTCTGGTACAGACGGCACCGGAGTGCCTGCGTGGGGGCCCCCCACACCCTGTGTCCTCCCGAGGGCGGGCTGTGGACGTTGCCGCGGTGGCCTCAGTTCCCTGACATACCCCGGGTTAGGCCCGGTGGGTCTGGTCTGCCGACGTCTCTGGGGCGCTCTGGGCAGCGCCTCCCCCGCCAGGGCTCGTTCTGCCCGCCGCCTGCTGAGCCCCCGTGTCGGCTTGGTCGCCCTCGGGCTGCGTGAGCCTCCTCAGGGGCCCGCTCTGCTTGCCCTGCCTTTCAGCTCGATGTAATCCCACGAAAACATCTTCAGAGAATACAGCAGTAATGTTGAGCTGGACTTGTCTGTGCTGCTGCACCTCAGGGCGCAGCCTCCGGCAGGGTCACGCACGCACTGTTGGTCCAGGAGGGATGGTCGTGCGATCCGACGGCCCTTTTTTTTTTTAAATGCAGGTACAAGATTCTGTCTCCCTTTGAGGTATTTCCAAGGTGGCTGGTGCTTTGACGGTGGTTTCATGACGCGAGTCTAGAGACATCTGCTGAAGTGATCAGGGTCTCCCTCTGTCACGTCTCCCCCGTCCGTTCTCCCACTTGTGCTCTAGATACTTGCCCACGCCGGCTGCGTGGCAGGCCTTGCGTTCCCGTCTCGGCGCCTTTGTGTCTGCTAGTTCCTGTACTCCTGATAAATTGGGTTAACGAGGTGGAGACTTGGTGCTCAGTGTGACCAGCCGTTGACACACGATCGATCATATGAACGGCTCCTGTCCGCTCCCCCTCCCCCACCCTGCTTTTTGGAAGGTCAGAGGAGGGAAAGTTACGGCGGCTCTTTCTCTGTCCATCAGAAATCTAGCAGTTAGGTGACTCCGGATTTCCAGAGACGAGGCCTGGCTGGGACCTGGGCGTCTTGGCTGCTGGAAGTGGCATTGGGCGTCACAGGCCTGCCACTTGCTCTGCTTCCTTGGCTTCGTGTCCTCTGTCCGTTGATCTTACCAAACTGCTTATAAACCATTAACTGAGTTTTTGGACCTGGGTCAGCTGTGCACTTCAGGGACGACTGAGACTTCCCCTTTCCCTCCTGCCCTGCAGTCCAGCCCCCCCGGAGCACAGATCCCGTGAGACAGGGGCTCTGCGTTCCCAGCATGTGGCACTGTGAGCGTCCCCGAGTGCCTGCTCAGTCAGCCCAGAGCGTGCTGCTGTCCTCAGCGCTCACCTCCCCGGTGCCCCTGGAGTGTGGGCCTGGGGCACCCTGTCTCCATGCCTGGTGAGCCGGCTGGGCCCACGCCAGCCTTTTCTATCCCAGGGGGATTGGCTTGATTCTTAAAAGGAGCTGCGTCACACCCTTCTCTCCCCTTCCCCTTCCTCTTGTGTGTCCTGCACGCGGGCAGGCCTGCCTCACCTGCAGCAGGTCCCAGGGAGACGTGCCGTGGGACCCCAGAGCTGGAAACGGGTACAGAAACCTGGTGGGATCCTGTCTCCTGCTGCTCTGCGAACGGGACTAGAGCTGCCTACTGGGTGGCCTGTGTGGGGCTGGGAGCTGGGGGGGCTGCCTACTGTGTGGTCAGTGTGGAGCTGACAGCTTGGAGCTGGGGTGGGGGGTGGCCCACCCACCCCGAGAGTGAGCTCAGCGTGGCCCGCTTTCTGAGACTTGCTCATCTTAGGCCTTTCCCCCCATTTCTTTTCATAGTTGAGATTTATTGGTGGTTTTGGGACTCAGACAAGGCGTTTCAGTCTGCACACAATGTTTAACATGTGTACCAAAAATCTAACAAGTCCCATCGCTGTGATTCTTTTCTAAATGGCTTTCCAGCTTAAAATTTGGAGGCAGAATTTCCTCAGGAGGGTGCTGGGTACCAGAATCTCCCAGTCCCACCGATACACAATTTAGTGTCACCCGCGCTGTGTGTAGGTGTGAACGCATGTGCGGACGTCAGCTGAGTGTCCAGGAGGCCTGGACTGCAGGTGTTCAGGGCACCAGTTCTGACGGGGAGAGCCAGGATCAAGGGGTGGTTTTCTCTAGGAAACAGTTGTAGCAAAAGCCAACAGGGGGACAGAAGTAAAGATCTCAGAGTGCGGGAAACGTAGGACTCCACCGCGGATATGAAAACCACCCCCAGCATCCACGCAGTGTTGGCTGGCGCTCCTGCAGAAGCCACTCTTCGGTCGTGCCCACGGGGCAGCTCCAGGGGTTTCACCTCTTCGGGAGCGTTTGTACTTACAATTGGAATGAGGTGGCCCTCCCTCCTGATTACAGACACTCCCGGAGCTCCTGAAAACCTAGCGCTCACCAGAGTTGACCGCGAGTCCCAGTGACTGCACACGAGGAGGAGGGGAACCAGCCCAGAGTGTGGCCGCCCCCCCTTCTGCAGGCGGGTCTCCTAACCCTGCCCTGCTGCCCGCCTCTCCTCGGGGCGGGGGGAGGAGGAGGAGGCACCTGCAGGCTCCCTGCTGGGCTGCCAGGTCCTGCCCGCCCTTAAAGTTGGGAGCACTGCTGGTAGCCAGGCCTGAGCCGAGGCTGGTGCCTCTACCTGAGATTCTGGGTGGAATCC